GCTGATCGATGAAATACACTGCTGAGGGGAGCAGTGGAGAGGCTTCACCAGAGACAGAGTGGGGAGCAGAACAGGCTGATCGATGAAATACACTGCTGAGGGGAGCAGCGGGGGGGTCAGGAGAGGTCTGCCGCGCCCTGTGGTCACCTCCGGGGCAGGCGGGGATCGAACTCATGCGGAAGCGGCTTTAGCTTCTCAGTGCTGCGCTCTAACCCGCTGCGCCCCCAGGGAGGGCCCGAGAGGGAGTCTTTTTAACACCTGGTGTTGGGAAAACCGGACAGCCACGCGCAGAAGAACAAAACTGGTCATCACTGTCCGCAAACAAACTCCACATAACAAACGCCATGAGCAAAAATAAATTGAAGTGTATCACTTAGACGTTCAACAGAGTGGAGCATCTGTGAGGAGTGTGGAGAAACCAGACAAAGGCAGACGATGGGCCCAGTCCCTGACCACAGCTGGGCGCTGTCCAGCAAGGGGTGGGGCCAGGGGGCCGGGAGAGCACAGCCGGCCGCGGAGCACGGTGGCCGCTCTGGCGGCGGCCGCCGCAGAGAAGCCTTACATTGTCGCGGCCTCCCCCAGAACGGCGGGTTCCCCACGCAGAGCGGGGTGTCGGGCGCGGCCGGGGCCCTGGGGGCGGCAGCCCGGGCTGGTTAAAGTGGACGCTCCGGGAGGTTTGGGCCGGAGGCTGCGTTCATTAGAAACGGTCAGCGTGGTGCTCTTCTGCTCACCGACACGGACTGTGGCGCCGGAGCGGGCGCCCGCCGGCCGTCCTGGGATGTTCCTCTGGGACTCGAAGGGGGCGCCCAGCGGGGGCAGCTGGGGCAGCTTCAGAGCCCCGGAGTGTGGCCCGGGCCCTGCTGGCTGTGGCCAGACCGCTTTGCAGAGGTGGCCATGCGTGTTTGTTCCCTTTTTCAGTTGCTTCGCCCGAGCCCCGTATGAAGCCTCTCGGCAAGACGAGGCGCAGGGCTCGTGTTGCACCCCGGTTCGCCCAGGCACCCCGCCGGCTGGTCAGCAAGCAGGGGCCTGGCTGACCCGGCCCCCCCGACCGGCGACCCCCTGGGGCAGCCC